GCGGCCTGCCCACCTGCGTCGTGCTCCTCGGCCCCATCATCCCCGAGACACACCTGCGCGGCCAGCCCTCCTGCGCCGTGCTCCTTGGCTCCATGTTCCCGAGATACACCTGCGCGGCCAGCCCGCCTGCGTCGTGCCCCTCGGCTCCATACTCTCCGAGACACGCATGCGCGGCCAGCCTGCCTGCGCCGAGCTCCTCGGCCATACCCTGCCGAGTCCATCTCAGGGCGGCTTGTCCACCTGAGTCACGTCCCTCGGCCGCAACCTGCCTGCGCCGAGCTTCTCGGCCATACGCTGCCGAGTTCACCTCAGCGCGGCCTGCCCGCCTGAGCGGTGTCCCTCGGTCACAGCATGCCTGCGCCGAGCCCCTCGACCATACACTGCCGAGACCCACCTCGGCGCGGCCAGCCCGCCTGCGTCGTGCTCCTCGGCTCCATGTTCCCGAGACACACCTGCGCGGCCAGCCCGCCTGCATCGTGCTCCTCGGCGTCATCTCCCCGAGACACTCCTGCGCGGCCAGCCCGCCTGCGTCGTGCTTCTCGGCGTCATCTCCCCGAGACACACCTGCGCGGCCAACCCGCCTGCGTCGTGCTCCTCGGCTCCATGCTCCCCGAGACACACCTGCGCGGCCAGCCTGCCTGCGTCGTGCTCCTCGGTGTCATCTCCCCGAGACACACCTGCGCGGCCAGCCCGCTTGAAAGCTAAAGCCATGCCTCGGACTCTCGGTACAACGACCGACGCATAGCTTCTTTCCGGGGGGGAATATGATATGGATAGTAATTACGATAAGACTCGGTTGATGTAAGCCGACGCCTCACGCCTCGATCGGCGCGACTGCACTCGGTCAACCGACCGGAACACCGGCCGAGGCGCATTAACGCCTACTCAGGCTCGGTTCTTCATGCCATGCCAACGCACATGTCAGACGCTATCAGCCTGCCTCCTGCAGGCGAGCACATCAAACAACAGTAAGCTTCTCTATAAATACCCTCTCGTTCATCAGAGAGAGGGAGAGCGAGACTTGAACAAACACTCCTTCATCCTGAAACCTCCTCTACATCTTCATCTAACTTGATCGTCGGAGGGGTCGGGTCGAGCACCTCGACCCGACCTTTGTGCAGGTGCGAAGCCGAAGGTCCCCGTCGGTCCCGTAGGTAGAGACGAATGCACCGTCTCGATCGGACACCGCCCCCGACCTCCTCAGCGGGCTCGAGGAGCGCCACCAGGGAGATCCCCGTCTTCCGGACCCAAACCAAGCCGCGTCGGCCCCGAGGCCACGGCTCAAGGTTGTTTACACCAACTCTCTGTAAATCAAGAGTCACGGAGCCCAACATATAACACTAAGTAAGAGTGAAGTCATCTATGTACTTCACGTAGCAAGCGATCTCATCCTCGCTTGCCCCTTCCTTGGGCATTGGATGATGTATCAAGGACGTACATGATTTTCTCTATCGTGAGAACAATTCTCAAGTTGCAGAGTCAACCCGTATAATTTGGACCAGTGAAGCAGTTGACATCACGTATACCACATAAAATTATATCGATCTCCTCTCTCTCTCTCTCTCTCTCTCTCTCTCTTTTTATTATGAGATGATTTAAGCTTGCTTGATTTGGGTAAATATGATCCATAAGAGAAGTACCTAAAATTCAGGTAAAACATTTTGAACTCTTAATGTATGCACAATATCACAAACAATTATTTCTCATTTTATCATATATCGAGTCTAGTGGCGTTGACGAAAGAAATTTTTTTTTCTCTCACATCCATAACAATAATAATAAGTTGTATTTCTTAGTTATTCACTGTATCCAATAACATTAACCTCTATACATGACAATATCTAATAATACTGCTTTCATGAGGAGCGAATGCGTTGCTTGTTGTTTGCATTTTAGCTTGCAGACGTCTCACGATCGAGCTAAGCATTCTCCATGACGTATCCTACAGCGTCCACGAAGCTGCTCCACAGGCTGTCGGCCACCTCGACGACCGTCTCCCACGCGCCCTCGAAGGCCCGCGGGAAGACCTCCGACAGCCCCTCGAGCGCGCTCCTCGTCTTCTCCACCAGCTCGACGACCGCCGACGTCGTGAGCTGCAGCGAGCCCGTCGCGGCACCGGCGACGGCGTCGAACGAGCTCGAGACGAGCGACGCGACCACGTCCTTGACGAGCTCCACCGCGTGCTCCAGCGCAGACCTGATGAGGCCTCCGGCCAGCTCGAGCGCGTCGTTGGAAGCTCGCCGGGGGATACTGAGGAGGCGGATGAGGACGACTATGAGAAGCGCCGCCCCTCTGAAGACGACGAAGATTAGGAGTCTTGCCAATGACCCGATGACCCAGAACACAGCCTGCAGCAGCAGGAGCGCCATGGTGATCTCCCGATGCTCGGAAGGAGACGACATGTTTCTTCCACCGAACTACTTGAGCCTGAGCAAGTCTTGGCGTACAAGCAATTACATTGACACCTCCGTTAGTAGGTGCGAGGAAGTTCAAGATGGACTCCACAATGACCACTTTGGCATTGGAAGTTTGAGAGACGCAGGTTAATTAGTTCTCTAAACCATTGCACAGACCATTGGATTATTTTGGTCTTCATGCTTTTGATGGGTCTTTACACATCAACAACAACAACAACAACAATAATAGATTGATCTAATTTGACAGAATAACTGATGTATTATCTAATTAATTATTGATCCAACATGCATAACCTCAACTTGAAAGTAACAAGCCAATTCAAGTCTTTATATGCTTCCGACGTCGAAACTAAATCTGTCGAGGAGATGGCATGATTTATAGTTTACCAAACAAAATAATGAGTCTATATGGTGAATCAACAGACTGCTAAATTAAGTTTATTACCAGAGAACCATGACCTAGAATCAGAACATGGAATCCATTCTTAGGTTAAAGAAATATGCTCCCTCCATGGGCACATCATAGAGAAAAGAGAATAGCTGGAACAAAAAGAAAAGATCTGCAACTGTCGGAAAGAAGTAAAACCAAAAGAGCAGATCTTGGATGTGATAAGCTGCCTACTCCTTGTACTTCATGGCAGACATATGAAAGCCAGGCATGTGGAATGAGGAAGCAAACTTGTCCACCGCTGCCTTGAGTTCCTCGATATCCTTGTTGTTCACCAAGCCTTTGTTAAAGTCCTTCAGCAGCTTCCCATGTTCCTTCTGAATGCTCAAACAAAGGGTTACTGCCTGGTGAAGGAACTCTGCTATCCGCTCAAAGTCCTTCTCAATCAAGCCCCTTGAGGTCATGGCAGGAGTACCTTAAAGATAAGCACATACTATGAGTAACATTTCCATAACAATGAGACAGCATTATAAGAGCATAAAGATGCACAAATTTTAACACAAGAAACAAACAAGATTTCCACTAATTATTCAGTGCTAAAGTACAGCATACATGAAGCAAAGAAGTTGTCCACTTATCCGCGTAAAGCGCACATGAAAAGCATTTGTTGATGGTATTTTGAATGTGGTAATTTTTCCATAATTTGGATAAACTATTTTTCCTCTAATGAAATGTATCTTTATCGCTACAGTCCAAACAATACTAAAGGCCTCAACCTAAATGTAGGAATTGAAGACTGTCGCATCCATATGGCTATACATCAGAAACTGATGGGTGCGCGGGACACCAGTTCAGAGTGGCAAATGCTAAAATAGTTGGAATTTAGGTTAGGTAAAAATGAATATTCTAATCACTCCATTTCACTCGATATCTTCTGATTAATGCTGTCTCTTACATAAATATATCTGCATGAGAAATATTAAGCAGGTTCACATGCCATATCTTTCTTGCTTTCTGGTACGGTTGAAGTTGTTGCATGCAAGTTCCAACCATATATTGCTTCAAATGTGTACTCAAAAAATAATTTCACCATCAAAGATTAAGCAGATTCTAATAACTGACACATTCCACAAAAGATGACATTCATACCAATTCGTACACCTCCAGGAGCCAATGCACTGCTGTCACCAAAAACAGCATTTTTGTTGACAGTGATATTGCAAAGATCACAAAGTTTCTCAACCTTGTTTCCTACATACATCCAAAGGAGAAGAAAGGATGAAGTTTTGTGCAGGAGGTAACAAATAGTTCCGCGAATAAATATAAATGTCAATACCGGTCAAGCCAAGAGGTCGGAGATCCCAAAGGACAAGATGATTCTCAGTTCCGTCTGTCACCAGTTTGTATCCCTTGCTCATCAGATAGTTTCCAAGAGCAACCGCATTGGCCTTGACCTGCTTGGCATAGGCCTTGAATCCAGGTGAAGTTGCCTGCTTCAATGCAACAGCCAAAGCAGCAATCTGGTGATTGTGAGGACCACCTTGGAGGGCTGGGAACACAGCAAAGTTGATTTTATCTTCGAAATCATAGACAGCGTCTTCTGGCTGTCCCTTCTTTGGAGGCTTAGGGCCCTTCCTGAAGAAGATCATGCCGGATCTCGGTCCTCTGAGACTCTTGTGAGTGGTGGTTGTAACCACATCACAGGACTCAAAGGGATTTGCAGCTTCCTACGGCATAGAAGAATAAAGGCTTTAGTATCTATGAGAAGGCAATGAAGCCAGGATTCCAGTGTTTGCCTAACACGGGGAAGAAACAGATCATAAGAAAAGACAATTTAAAAACACAAGTGTTCATGAAGAACGACTTCAGTAATGCATTTTTCTAAAAGTGAAAATGGAAGACAATCTTTCTTTCTTTGTCAGACCAAGCAGAACATCACATAGATCTAAAAGAAATAAACAAAAGCAGTCTAAGGATATCCTGATAGATGCAGAATTATCATGTACGCATCTAAAGAAACATATAAATGCAAGGAAGAATTAGATTCTCAAAGAGGAAAAAGGCATAGCTGCCCATTTATCTTTAATCGTTCTAAAAACGATGGTTGCTATATATTAACAGAAATATACTATGATCATGATACTTGGAAGTATCATACATCCATACTTTGTCATCATTTACAATCAACTAACACTTGAACTTTGATAGACTCCGTGAACAATGGTTTCCTTGAATAATTAGATTTGCACTCGATACCATAAAAAAGCAATATAATCAAGATATCATCTTTATACAAAAATGCAAAGTTTTAACGAGGAGAACCAAACAGAACAAGTATCTTAAACATTTTCCGATTCAAAGATCTACTTGCATCACGAAAGTCAACCGATGCAGATCAGATCCAGACAATTCGAGTGCATGACATTACAATTAAAACATCGAGAAATTCTCCATCCTAGCCATCAGATCTTGGCTGTCCTCCATAACCCTTGCAGTCATAAAGAACATCCCCAACCTCAAACAACCCATTTTTCAGGAAACAACAATAGCCCAGAAAGGAGAGAGAGGAAAGAAAGAATCATAGTCATTACCTGAGCGGCCACGAGGCCACTAATGTGAGCCATATCGCACAGCAACAATGCGCCGCACTTGTCAGCAATGGACCTGAATCTTGCGTAGTCCCAGTCTCGAGGATACGCGCTCCCGCCGCAGATGATGAGCTTAGGGCGGAAGTCGAGAGCTTTCTCCTCGAGCTTGTCGTAGTCGATGTAGCCGGTGACAGAGCTGACCTTGTAGGGCAGGCTCTCAAAGTAGATGGAGGTGGCGGAGATCTTCTTTCCCCCGGAGGTGTAGTATCCGTGGGTGAGATGGCCGCCGGAGGGGAGGTCGAGGCCCATGATGCGGTCGTGGGGGTTAAGAAGGGCGGTATAGGCGGCAAAGTTGGCGGGGCTACCGGAGTAGGGCTGGACATTGACGCCCCACCTGGCAGGGTCGAGGCGGAAGGCGGCGAGGGCGCGGGAGCGGCAGAGGTTCTCGATGGCGTCGATGTGCTCATTGCCACCGTAGTAGCGGTTGCCGGGCATGCCCTCGGAGTACTTGTTGGTGAGGGCGCTCCCGAGGGCCTCGATGACGGCGAAGGAGGTGAAGTTCTCGGAGGCGATGAGCTCGATACCGTGGGACTGGCGGTGCTTCTCATGCTCGATGAGATCGTGGATCTCCGGGTCGACGGCGGACAGAGGGGTGAGGCCCCACTCGGCGACTGACTCCATGGCGGAGGCGGAGGCGGAGGCGAGGCGGACACGTTGGAGAATAGGAGAAGAGGATGGAAAGGAGAAGCGGAGCGGAGGAAGAGAGGGACGTAGTCGGGAGTGGGGGAATGGAGAAGAGGGCTTTAAAAGGTGGGAGGAGGGGTCGAGGGTCTGAGGCCACATGGACTGAAGTGTGAGGATGTTTACGCGCTTGTTACTGGGAGCGCGGTGGTGGTGCACAGGATGCTCGTCACCTGTTTGCGTTAATGCCGCAGATGAGAGGGTATCCTTTTCCACTGGTGGTGTAAATATATAGGAGATCTTTTGTCGCATGATTTCTCCTATATATTTTGAATTTATGTTGTGTTTTCTTGTTCATTTCATTTGGTAAGAAAATAAAAAGTCCTATAATATGCTATTTAGTTTCTTAGTTTTTATTTTTTTCATATATATATATATATATATATATATATATATATATATATATATATATATATATATATATATATATATATTCGTGTTGAAAGGATTGATGACGCCATACTTAACAAGATTGATACGAACAATTAATTTAGGAGGTCTTGAATGGTAAATTGATCGAAGCACATAAAAAATAAAAGTAAACTAAATATCACTTTAAAAATCATATGTTTATTATACTGGCAAATATTTTGCACTATTTTCTAGCTAAAGGAAAAGGATGTTATAATGATAGATTGAAATAAATCATACCATCAAAGATAAAGCTCGACTAAACCCAAACCAACGCACCGAACCCACAACGAACTCAAGCGGGCCGTTGGGCCTTACGAGTCCAAATCAACATTCCCCACTCAAACCTATGAGGGTAGCATATGTGATGCTTTAATGCAAGAAATTAATTGTATTAAAAAGAAGATGCATAGTATGATTATTATGAAAATTAAAGATGTTTTGTTTATTATATGTCAACCAAAAACCTAATTAGCTTGCTAAATCTTACTATTGCATAGATAATAAAAAATATTAATACTTCTATGATATTATGATGAGGCTAATTACATATTATTCTATGTAATTAACTACCTTTAATATCACGTATCACTTTTAAAAGTTAATATTTATATATTTATAAAAAAATAAAATATTTAATCTCGTTTCTCCTCATATTATCAATTCTACGATGAAAATATTACTCGTGCTGTCACGTGTGGAAAATGACGCTAAAATAATATTAAAAAAATAATTTTACAATATTATTCTCATCGATATTAGTTTTTTATTCAGTAACTTTTGTGAAAACGATTTTCTTCTCCGACTTCATCTTCTCCTCCGGCTTTGGTATCCTCCCAAACAACCAACCGAGAGGAGAAAACTTTAATCAAATCTCGAAAGCTTCACTTCGATCTGAACCTCAGCTTTGGCTATCAACATTCTCTCGGGTAAGTCATAGTTTAGGCAAAAAAAAAACACTATTTTAATGCTGTAAAATTACCTTTTTAACTTTATTTGTCATTTTCTGCACGTGACAATACGTGCGATATTTCCATCGAGTGAATCAACTACGTGAGGAAAAACATGATTAAATATTTCACTTTCGTAAGTATAAGAACCCTGATATAACTTTTGAAAGTATAGAGATCGAAATGCTAAAAATAATTAACTATATGAGATAATATATAATTAGTCCTACTAAGGTGTCTAGATCATCAGAAAATTTTAAATTCTTTGGATTTAGTAACGAAATTGATATATTTCTACATCTAAAAATAAAATAAATCATTCTTCTGTTTGTTTGAATCTATGAAATTAAATCAGATAAAGATCTATGACTATCATACATGATATATATCATTTATTGAAGCTTACCACACTTTCGAAATATTTTCGATATAATACCAGAGCAATGATTTACCAACAGCTATATCTTCCAATAATATGATACGAGCAGGTAATTAAAGAGGTAGGCCAAAGTACCTTGTTGCATGTGGTCACGTTGAACGTTAGATACATGTGGAAGATGTCCATGGTCCGTACTAAGAGCGACATGGCCTCGTCTTCAGGCTTTTGTTGAGGTGCCAGGGGAACCTTGGCGTTTCCTGGGGTCTGGCATGAGCTGGGTGATTCCTCCTCTGCACCTTCCTTCAACATCAAGAATCCGTATCCGTGAGGCAAATGTTACTGCTTGTCTGCTAGAAGAAAAGAAAAAGACAATTAGCAGCAAACAATAAACTTATCGTAACTCTTTCGCCATTCATTCCCCGCCTGAAGGTGCAGGTCTGTACCCATTAACTGCAACTGTTGCTGGGAAGATTCTTGCTCTGTCGATTATAATCAACTGCACAGACATCAAAACAACAACGCACTGTAAGAAATATAAGGAGTTCTGAATCAAGAAACTCATCTGCAGTCGACACTATAACTTGCAATAGATGAAGACAAGATGCTTTGCCCTGCTGCTCCTCGCCATCATGTAGCAACTCGGAGACCATTTACCATCGGAGAATAGTTTAGGCATCAGGTATGCAGATTCATGGTGGCAAAAGTCTAGCAAACAAGACGACCAAAAATACTGCGAACCAATTGCATGTCTCTGGTGCACTTCTTGCCAACACCTGCAGGTAATATATTGTCAGGGGAGTAGCAGTTTCTACTGTCTCGGACGAATTACCTTCATCCCAGAAACATAACGATATAACATGAGTACATATACAAGAAAACTGGTAAATCACATATATATATATTTTTCCCTCACCGACTCGGCCAACCTTAACAACCTCTTCCTCTATTACATTGTCATGTACTCAAATGCCAGATTTCTGATATGTTGCTAAGCATTACAATGTACAGCTGTCTTATGATCCAAGGAGAACAACCAAACCAACCAAATATTGAAAGAAACAAAGAAATATTTAAGAGAAATGAAAAGATACTACTTAATTTTAATCCTCAATCACTTGAAATCGAAGCAGGTTTCAGTATCAAACCCAAATAGAATTGGGTTGATGCACCGTCGCAGTTTACCATGACTTCCAGAGTGAGACCGAGAGACTATCATGCACCTCCATCCACCACCATGAACAAGCTGCCCACCACACACAGCAATGGTTCTTTTCCTCCCATAGCTCAACAATAGGAGTCAGAACGTTGCAGAAGCCATTAAAAGGATCATAAACACAATTCCTGATCAGACATCACTTGAAGTATAATCGAATGACTCTGTTGTTGAATTGGTGTTATCGTATCGCCATCTCTTGAGTCTTTCGGTCAGACTCAAACTCGGCTCACCATCATCTTCAATGGCACAGTTGGTGGGCCTCCACTGTTCAACTAGGGGAGCTACCCTATTGACTGCATGGCTCATGTCAGGCCTCTGATAAGGTTCACGGGCTGTACAGTGCCAAGCTAGGTCTGCAACTTCCGCCAAGCTCTGATGAGCTTCTTCATCAAGCTCAAGAATTTGATCCACCATGGCGTTCAAAAATTTGTTCTTTTCATGGGAAAATCCCCTACGGAATAATGCCACCAGATGGCTATCTTCAGGTGGGAGCGACTCATCTAGTACTTTTCTCCCAGTAATTAGCTCCATCAATATCACACCAAATGCATAAACATCAACCTTGGTCGACACCTTTCCAGTAGCTGTTAGAATATTGCAGCTCAGGATCAATAAGTACACAAGGCAAATACAAAATAACCTGAAGCTCAAACTTTGTTCAGTAAAAAGAATCAATAGAGAATTGTAGTAATTGGGCTTTCTGTACGGTGATTTCCTCTGCTATTTTACCTTAATCTCACTTTCATACTCTCATAATTTTTTGCCCTTCTAGAAGTATCCTAGATTGCATTACTTGTTTTGTAAGTACATTGCTCTCTCTGATTCATGTAATGACCAAGCATTATTCACAGTTTTAGTTAAAAAGGGAGACAATTCAGCTTATCAGCAAGTAGCAATCCAGAAAAGCCATAAAACAAATTGTTTCAGTAATTAATAGCATCACATAAAATATCAGTCTCCAATATCAACTAATATAACTGCTACTTCAAACATTTGATGAGAATAGGCACAGGAACATGTCAAGAAAACTTGTGCTGTTCAACCAAGAGAGGGTTGTGATGTACACTTATCCCTGTTGTAGAACTGCTCCTTCCACACTTGGACCAAATAGTTTGTTGTCTTCAACTTTGAATCCTTAGACAATTTGGATATATTGATGTCACATAACATGAATAGCTTCTAATTAAAAGCATCTTCTTGTTCACGTTAATCAAAGTAAAAGAATCCTTTTTTTTCTCTCAATCTCTGATCCAAGAAATAGATACTTTTGTTTGTGTCTATCAAAACTTTGGCTCCCGGATTCTTGTCAACATCTTGTCTTGAGAAAGATCCAAGAGGAATATGTAGAATGAGCCAAAATTAAAATCATTATTATTCAAAAGGATCATTGTTTGTGGATTTATTAGTTATTGTTTCTAGCCAATATCGCATCATTCTGTTGCTAAAATTTTCAGATTTCATATTTATTTGTATATATCGTCAGATATGCTTTTGAGTTTCCATATATTCATTGTGACATTTCTCAATATGATTAGGCTGATTATTTGTGTACTTCTAAGCAGTTGAAAATGTTCAGACATATTGCCTAAAGTTCCAAACTAGATTTGACAAGGTTCTTAAACACTGAACCTAAGAAGAACTATGAACCTTCTTTACTAATCAGAACAAGTCTTTGAATTGATATACTTGAACCAACAGTTAATTCAATATGCAAATTTGCAAAAAGAAGAACAACATATGGCTTTTTAATTAACAGTCTGAGAGAAAAAAAGTATAACAGACTTACTAGCATACTCAGGAGCAAGATACCCAAATGTCCCTGCTAATCGTGTCATCATGGACTTCTGATTGTCATCCGCAAGCTTGACCAACCCAAAATCAGAAACCTTGGCCCTCAAGTCCTTGTCCAAGAGTATGTTAGAGGGCTTCAGATCTCTGTGAATGAAACTTTCTTGAGCCAAACTATGCAAGTACTCGATCGCTCTAGCAACATCGAGAGCAATCGTCAGCCGCTGCTTCCAAGTAAGTGGTGGTTCGTGTCTGCTCTGCCATTCAAACAAGTGATCCCCCAGTGTACCCCCAGACATGTATTCATACACCAAAAGCCTCTCTTGAGCATCATCACAGTAGCCAAGAAGTGTGACCAAGTTCCGATGCTTAACCTTCTTAAGAACATCAATCTCTGCTTTGAACTCCTCCTGCCCCTTCTTACCCATTAAATCACACTGGTTTCTCTTCACAGCAATCAGAGTCCCATTATGATCCCCTTTGTATACAATACCAAACCCACCCCTGCCCAACACATTATCTTCGCTGAAATTATTAGTAGCCCTTCGAAGGGATTGGATTGATATG